ATACTTACTTATTCTGAGTCGTAATAAATTTGGTCAACGCGTGTTATTCAACGGACGTCTTTCGCTGCAATATTTTCAAATAATTACTTAACTCATTTTTTTGTTTTTAGAACTTCTGGATTCAGATATATATGCATCAAGTGTTCCGCCAGTCATCGATTATCCTCCTGATACTAGTATTACATTACATTCAGCAAATAGTGGTGGCCTCTGGCCATCAAGAATAACTCGTTAGAATGAATTTTTTTATGAAGCAACTAGGTTCGACTTAAATCAAAGCAACATATATCAAATGCTAAAGTTAGAGAAACCACAATTCGTTAATGGTTTAAGAGCTCGTGTTGAAAATAGCGTTGAAACAGCTCTTGAAGTTAATATTTTTCGTATATTGAACCAGTTCTTACTTCCAAAATTTGAGTTTTCGAAACAAAAGGATTCAGATTTTAATCATGATGATCCAAACATCAGCACTGGGCTACCAGATTTCACTTGTCGAAAATATAAAGATTCTGATGATTCTGAAGGAAGAAGGATCATTGAAATCGAAGTCAAAAGAGATATTGTTGTAAAACAGTTATATGAGACCAATTTAGATGAATTATTCAGTTATGAAGGTAGCAATTTTACTGGCTGTGCAAATGGCGATTTAATTAACGTAATTAAACAGCTTTACAACTATATGATTGCGAATGAATTGCAATATGGTATACTCACAAGCTATGATCACCACTGGTTTTTCCACCGTTCAAGCAGTGATCCATCAACACTATTAATTTCAGATGTTCTTTCACTTCAATCAACAAGTCTGCCAGTGATCAAAACTTATACATACTTAGTTTACCTGGCAAATATTAATCCTAAATCTTCTCATCCTAATATAATTGAATTACGAACCAGACAAGGTCAAAACTAAAACTTAGGTTCTAATAATCAAAGTTTCAATTATCAAAGTCAAAGTTTGGGCTATGGTCAGCAAGGTTCTGGTGATAGTTCAGGTTTAGGCATCAGTGGTCAAAATTACACAGCAGAAATACAAGAACGGACTTATGGTTATAAAGAGATTAAGCTTGAGGGTATTTTAGGAAGTAGACAAACTGGAAGGACATTTAAAGCTATTATTTGTAGAGAGCCAGTTGCTATGAAGGCTATAGATCTATTTAAGGAAGCTGATCTTTTGTGCAAAGTTAAAAAAGAAATTAACATCTACCAAATTCTTATGGAAATTCAAGGGAAGTATATTCCAAAATTGGTATGTTATGGTTACTATGGATATGGAATGGGTTATTTTATGGGTATAACTATAGTTGGTACTAATTTGTATCACCATAGGATAGATCATAATCAAAGGAATAGGGCTCTCGAAGCATTAAAGGCGATTCATAGTTATGGCATTCTTCACAATGATATTCGACAAGAAAATATCTTAGTTAACGAAAAAGGTGAAATTTATATAATTGATTTTGGAATATCAATTATAACTAATGATAGGAGGCAGTTCTATGATGAGGAATCTGAATTATCAAATTTATTAGATCGCTATATGTTTCAAAATCATGTGACGCAGTAACATTCGCGTGATAATGTTAAATAGGTTTTTTTAAGAAAAAAATCAATTCATTATTATTGTAATGGTTTGCTTTTATAGTATGTTTGCATGCTTTACATTATTTAATAAAGTAATACCTATTTGCAAAGACAAATAAATGAGATATGTTTGCCAGAATTTGTGTTTGTACTACTAATATTTTTTCAATCCAGATTTTTCATTGCAAATTTCATACATAAGCCACTTATTCGCACTAACATTTTCTGAAGCGTAATGTATTTCCCGAACCAAAATAAATTATGTAATGGGATCACCAAAAGAACGCCTATTCATGATATACCGCAATATGAAGAATTGCTGTGGAAGATGAATGTTCTGGACGAGGCATTAATTTTAAAAGGTATGTAATGTTTTTTTTTGATTGTAGCTGTACATTGCAATAAAATATAAGTGTCTTTTGAGCTAATAAGCTAATAGACGACTTTCGTTCAGGATTTTAAAGACAAATAATATAAGCAGAATTAAGTAATTTATTTACCACATCAATGAAGAATTCAAGCTGAAAATGCTATACATTGTATCAAGTATATTTTTGTGAGATATGAAGATGTATAGTGAATAAAAAAAGTGAGACCTAAAGTCCCATTTGAGAAAAGTCATGAGTCTGTCCCGAAAAAATTACCCGATAGAAATATGAGTATGGTTAGCAAAGATACTCCATCAGTCAAATCACAAGTAAGTGTATCATCCACAATTTCTTCCTGTAAGATAGGATCATCTAACAGATCCAGACTTCCGATTTTCATTTTGCCTGAAGATCCTGAAGAGAAATGAAAATATATCATTGGGTTGGTGTTAGAGCGTTTTCCTTATCTATCTTTACGCGATAGTGGTGGATATGGTGAAAGTTTTAATCTAAATAGTTCAACACTCTGTTCATTATGTAACGGAGACCATAAAGAAAAAAGTGTATGGAATGATATAAAAGGTGAATGGGGTGATGGTGAGTATTACGGAGAGCTAACTTATCGCCTCAAATGCTGGAATACTCTTAATCATGGAATTCCAATAGTATCTGTAAAAGCATAGAGGACGAAAACTTCGTCATGTGAGGAAATCAATCATTTGTACAGACGTGATCAGTGAAATGCATAGTACAATATCAGAAAAACTCTCCCTGAAGAATAGGGGCTGTGCGACACAGACACAGACACAGACATGATCAGTGATCGCGAATCGCATATATATTCGCATTATTTTTTGACTCGATTTGCATTTATTTTTGCGTCATGTCTCCTTCGGTCTAGCCACACTATTATCATATTGATAAAACAATATTCGATATAGTTAATTTTTGTCAATCATTATTTCGCATGATGGGGTTACTTCCCTAAAGGGTGGGGATGTGTATGCTAATCACGAAGACATCTTTATTGATTTGCAAGGGATTAACATATGACGAAATGCAGTGCGTGCCTGTGGCACCTTCAGCAATTACTAGTGAAAATCTGGGGAATCTTTTCTCCTGCGAAATTTACAAGTGATATAAAATAAGATCAGTATATTTTTTTCGATTTTAATTGAGGGAAAAGTCCCAATATGTTGAGCTCAGAATTAACTAAAGCTCCAGAATCTTTTCAGGTCCCAGAGAGATCCCGTCTATCTCTTGCTAATCATAGAAACCTTGCTTATAATATCTTGAAGTATCTTAAGGATGATACGGTCAGGGATAAAGAAATTTTGAAGCTAGAGCTATGTTCCGAATATACGAACAATATTCTGGCATGCTCTCTCAAAGCACTTACAATATTGTCATGTAGGCATATTTTTCACCGGTCATGTGTAGAGAAACAGCTTCTATTCACTAAACCTGACGCATGTCCATTTTCCAATTGCGGGAAGGTTGTTGATATTGTCGTAAATCCGAATTCTATTAGGAGGGGTTCGCAATCATCCCAATCAAGTGTAACTTCATCTATTTCTAACTTGATGGGTAAAAAGTTTGTCCTGAATTCGCTGATCATATCGGAAGAGGGAATACAAGAAGATCCGATGAAGGAAGTCCAGAACACATTAAATCAAGAAACTGAGACTTGTTTAACATGTGCAAAATGTTCTGAAGAAATTACCGTAGATTTCTCGAAAGATATTGTCTTTTTGTCCTGTAAACATGCCGTTCATTTCGATTGCATTGACGATCTATGCAAGAAATGCCCTACCTGCCTATCAGCCAATGATTTGAAAACGATTCCTATAAGGAATCCAATTTCAGTAGAATAGGCTTCGAGTACCACCCAGAAAAAACGTCCTAACGAATCAGGTGAAACAACCGAAAAATCGTCTAGTAAGAAAAAGAAAAAGACTGGTGGGAAGAAGGTATTATCTATGCTAAAAAAACTTATCGAAGAATTATTAACTAATGTACCTGTTCTCACTGCTGGAGAGAACTTGGAAGAAGCAAATGGAAATGAAACCAGTAATTTTTTGCAACTATACGATAAGATTGATAGCGCTGAATCTAAAAATAAAGATGCATCTTGAGGCCTTATTTTTAGCTATTTTGATTTTAGGAAAGCTGTATTTAAACGATATAAGGAATTAAAACTCGAACATGGTAAGGATGGATCTCAAGCATTAGTCAAAAGTGAAGTTAGAGAAGCGATTCCTAAAGCAAAATGTTCTGACAAAGCTTTGCGGAAAAGGATGGAGAGATCTAAAAAGGTTTATAAGCTTTTTAATAGCATAGGTAAAGAAAAAATAGCAAGGATTAAATCTACCCCTCCGGGTTTCATCTTAAATCTAACTAAGGATGAAAAAGATTATGTAATTGCCGAAGTCTTAAAACAGAAACTTCATTAATGTCTTGCGCATTTTTGCTGAGCCTAGACACGGTGTCCAGACTCTACATTAGAAAAATAGTATTTCTTACACATGTATTTTTAAACATATATTAATAAAGCATTTGCAGTTAGCGTAATACTTTTATTTTAAAATGTATTCTACATATATTAATATTTACTACCAAGTCTTTTTTGCCGAACGTCATAGAAAATAGTATTTCGAATAAAAAAACATGGCTAATTTGCTGACTACTGTACTATGTGATTAATTTTTTTTTTCTGTGCAATTAAGTCGAGTCCGGACACTGTGTTTAGACTCTACCATCAGATATTCATATGCACAGTGCCTTCAGTTGTTTTGGGATAAATTTAACCAAGATATCAGGGCAAGCTAACTGGATAGGTTATTCTACCACAGATCAAGGGAGGGGAGTTTCGGAAGACAAATTTAACCAGATGTTGATCTCGCTTCTGTGCAATTAAGTCAAGCCAGGACACAGTGTCCAGACTCTATCATCAGAAAAAATAGTTGTAATGAATTTCCCGAATCAAAACCCAATAAAAATTTGATATAAAAATTCCATAAAAATATAAAGTTTTATAACGTATAATTTTTATGGAATTTCAGTATAATGTA